TCTCTAACATTCTGTGATTCTGTGACAGTAGGAACTCTGCATAAAGGTGAAAGCACCTGAACACTGGAGGAGTACTGTTCTTGCAGAATTGATTCATGGGGACGTCGACCTTGAAGTAAACGTGCAGTGCACCCTTTGAGAGGTCTCGCTTGTGAGGGACTAGGCAGAAATGTTTCTTTCTATAGGAAGGAAGGAGCAGGATTTACACTGTCATCTAAGTCTCTTACTTTGGCAGACCATTGTCTGAGACTAGTGAAATGGCTCAGTTAGGAGTCTCCCAGACAAAGGGAAGCAGCCCAGACATTTGTTCCTGCCTTGCCACCTGGGGATCTTAGAGTCAGTCTTTATGCTTTGGAAAATAAAATGTTTTGCTCCATCCCAATGCATAGATATAAATGGGTGCAGATGTCTTGTGCTCTCTTCTCCTTTATTCTGTAAGCATCTGTCTTCCATTTGTGATCTCATAAGCAATATGATAGTATAAATTATGACTTGCATTAGTGTGTTTTAAAATTCTTTTAGGAACTGTTGCAAGTGGGACTGAGGGTGCCCAGTGGCATGTGGCTTTTTAGCTCTTTTAACCACAGTTTGACTCACTGCTTGAATAATATTGCTCTGTATTAGTCATTTGTACTGTTGAGCTTTTAGATACTGGTGCAGAGTCAAAGTTACATTTGATAGGAACTATTCAAACATAAAGTACATTTGAATCCTATAGCCAAAGAATGGACTTCAGCAGTTACTGTGATGAACATTCTGAGTGTTTGACATTTAACGTATGTATGTTTTAAGTGGAATGCTGTTGTTCAGATAAATCAGCATGGCCCAGGATAGGCTTCTACCGATCAGACTTTGTAAGCCAGAGGGCAATAAAACTGTTAAGTTTTGAATTAATGTAAGCTGCTAGTTTAGATTTTCATTTCCAGAGACAAGATGTTGAAGGTGTTCTTTAAAACGTTCATCATCATAAAGCAAAATATTTGTTTCTTCGTCACACTGGAGAAAAAGCTAGACAGCTTTTCCATTGCAGGTACAGGGATTCACTCAGAAACTTGTAAATGCTATTTCAAATCAGATTTCCTTACTTAGATTTTTTTTTTTCATCCAATAGAAAAAAAGCAGGACAATTTGGGGACTTTTCATCTAGGGCCATGTTTGGACTATAACTAAGAAAATAACAGCATCTTACTTAGCTGCCCTGCTTCTTTTATGTCTGTGCAGTTTGAACCTGGAAGTGCTGTAAAGCAGCAGTGCTGTGGAAGGGTGAACAGGAATCTAGCCCTTCTGTTTTAACTGCAGAATTGCTTAATTGGTTAGAATAAACTAGATGTGTGTATACTCTACATGACAATGTGCATGTGTCACTGAAAGGCTTAAGCCATTACAGGTAATAATGTATTAGCAAAAAGCAGCTCAACTTGTTTTGCTGTGTTTATGTACCATGTTGTGCTTCATTTGCCTGGGTAGCACTTAATAAAAATAGTATCTTTTCTCTTATATAGGACACACAGAATATAAAAATTGTTGAATACAATAAACATGGAGTTTTGTGTGTTCTTTAGAGTAAACCTTTGCATTAAAATAGAGTCTGATAATGTGACTGATGCACCCTTAAGGAAGTAAGGCAAATCACTCATGTAGGTGGCAGAGGATGAATCATAGAAACTCTGCCAAACTTAAACCGGTACACTTACTAAAGAGGCAATAGTCTGTAATGGTACAAGGTCAATTATTAAATGAGTTCATGTGAGGTTCTCCTGATTAACACCAGCTGAACACCTAGCCAATATGTTTCAGTCTGTGCAGTGCTGCACTAGTCACATGAAAGCTGCCAATTTGTTTTATTGAGACTGTTACTCATACTTCTCAAGGCAAAAGGTCCTTTGAATTGCTGTCATGTGTTTGTGGCAACTTTAAATGGTAACATGAAAAATAAGCCAATAGTCACAACAGCTTTCCTCTCTGTAAACCCTGAAGAAGTAATCAGTCCATTACAAAAGTTCTATCAACCAGCTGTGTCAGGAGTGTTTTAGTATGCTGAACATTTGCCTCTCTTTTAGAGTGAGCCTTGCCCTACACTTAAGTGTTATGAAAGGGTAGGCTTAATTCTGCTAGCTGAATCTGGTAATGCTCTTGCCAGTATTACTTGTGATGGAAGCATGAGATTCTTAGTAAATGCAGTACTTACTAGATCCACGTCTTCACCTAGTTCTCCAGTTAATCTGCCAACTGCTTTCATATAGTAGTTATCCAGAATAAGAGGATTCATAGGACCTCTTCCTTAATGGAGACATATTTTATTGTCACACATTTTTATTGGTTAGGAAAATCAGAATTAAGGCACAGTCCCCCTGAAAAACTTTAGGTAGTTTGTGTGGCATTTGTTATTAAAAGACAAAAAATTAATCTGAGAAATGTAGGGGCTAACAATTTGTGGTCTTTCATTGCTATCCCAAGTAAATTAATTTGACAAAAAATGCTTACCTGTGAAGTCCCGACTGTATGTTGTGATCCCCAGAGCTCTTTCAGTGTTCCGTAGCATATTGGCTGTTCTTGCGGAGAGGTTATGTTCTGGCACTTTAAAAGAGGAGCTGGGGACCACTGTTTTTGGTGGATTTGGATCATATATTTGACCCTTTTCTTTGGCAAACTTAGGAAGCTGAAGGATAAGAAGAAACAGGTGTGGTATAACCCAAATATGTGTGCTGGATGAAAAAACTGGTTTAAACTTTTGAAATAACACGCGCTGCTTCCCCCACTGCCCCTACCTCTGATTATTTGATTAGTAAATGCTAATAAAAGTAAAAATGTGGTGGAAAAATATCTTCAGTACAGTATTATTACTCAAGTGGCTGCTTATTGTTTCCCTTGCCACGTCCATAAGACTGTGTCTACAAAGGCTGTATCTTTCTTTGTTTACTGATATTTTTTCTTACACTATTGGTGACAAGATCTTATCTGTCATCAAACTTAAGGCTACATCCCTTTTGGAAGACAACTAGTGTTCGAGTGCACCCTCAGCAAGTTTGCAGATGACACCAAGCTGAGTGGTGCAGTGGATACAACAGAGGGAAGGGATGCCATTGAGAGGGACCTGGACAGGCTGGAGAAGTGGGCCCATGAGAACCTAATGAGGTTCAACAAGGCCAAGTGCAAGGTGTTGCGCTTGGGCTGGGGCAATCCCAGGTTCTTGTATAGACTGGGAGAAGAACTCCTTGAGAGCAGCCCTGCGGAGAAGGACTTGGGGGTCCTGGTGGACGAGAAGCTGGACATAAGCCAGCAGTGTGTGCTTGCAGCCCAGAAGGCCAACTATGTCCTGGGCTGCATTTAAAAAGGGCTGGCCAGCAGGGAGAGGGAGGTGATTGTCCCCCTCTACTCTGCTCTTGTGAGACCCCATCTTATTGCTATTGGGGTAACAAGATTCCTGACTTTTCAATCATAATCATTTCAATCATTCTTTTAAATGTCGTATGTATTATGATTGAATTTCTGCCAGAATTTTATTAGACAATTGGCACAGTACTTCTCCTGTCAGTGAGACACTGAGGAGAAAATGCAGCAAAGGAAGGAAAAAATATGAAGATGTAAGAAACAAATAGGAAGAAAACTGAAGTAGTAATCTAAAAGGCAAATAGTTTCTTAATAAAAGGAGTGTGAATCACAGCCCAGCATCAGCTTTACAGCTCGGTCTCACTCAGTTAAATTACAGTCCAGGTTGAAAAAACAAGCCTTCAGGTGTGATTTGGACCTGATTTAGTTACCCTGCCACAGTCTCCTCCATCCCTGGAGACATTCATGGCCAGGCTGGATGGGGCCCTGGGCAGCCTGCTCTAGTGGTTGGCAACCCTGCCCACAGCAGGGGAGTTGAAACTAGATGATCTTTAAGGTCCTATTCAACCCAGGCCATTCTATTATTATGATTCTAAGAATAGCAGAAATGTGATCATTCATGAACAGATTCACTCCTGTTTTACGGATCAGCCTAGTCTCCATCATTACAGCTGTGAAAGGCAAAGTTGGAGTCAAAGGCCGTCCACAAAGAGGACATCTCTTTTCTTGAAGACAAGGAAATGGTGACACCAGCCTATTAGTACATTGGCAAGACTTGTGGAGAGGTAAGGAGGAGCAAAGATCTACTGCTGCCCAAACACATTTCTTTGAAGGGCTGCAGACCATAATCTGGGCTTCTGAATCAAGTTCCACCCCCCACCCTGCCTCCCCCAAACGTGTGGTCAGGAGCTATTATTGCTGCTGCTTGTTCTTCTTTCTTCTTTCTTCTTTTTCTTTTTCCAGAGTGACTTGACTAGGTCCAACAAGAGCTAGTTAGGACTTAAAGGACTTCAGTCACAAGGCAGCCTGTTAGTTTCTGATCTTGTTCAGCTGAGGTGGCTGAAAACTGTCTCTGTCGCTTTTCACTCTCTGTATGCATGATGGCTAATTAATGGTCTGCAAGTGTTTGGAACAGTACAGGACCTCTCTGTGTGGAAATGAGAGGTCCTGTGAAAGAGAAGCAGAGAAGTTTGATTAAAATAATAATAATAAAAAAGGTCATTTTGCTTTTTTTCCATATGAACTACGTACTTGGAAGTTGGTGTGCTGTTCCGACCATAGCATAGCCTTCTTCTGGGAGTCAGAAGGAATACTGACAACTTCTTGCCTATATGGATTACCTACAGGGGAAATACTTAACATGTTCTAATGAATCATCATTGATCAGAATGGCAGATGGATCTGCATTTTAACCTGTAGATAGATGTATGCTCACTATATAGACAGCTGTACCAGTTTAAGAGGTTCTGTGAGCTGCTGCTAGTGTTTCTTCTACCTTGGGAGGCCAACCTCATGGATCTGCAGACAGAACTCATCTTCACTCTTTTGGTACAAATCAGCAGGGTTAAAGCAGATCACCCATTTAATCAGTATAACATAACCCAGCTGTCTTTCTGGAAGCACTTGATGTATGTGTCTGCACCAACTGATCTGCAAGGCTAGTTGTCTCAGGCAGAGAGGTGGTGACAAGCAAATGAAGGCTGGATCTTACACCAGATAAAGCTGCCTCTGCAGAAGGCCATCTGCCCATGGCCAGTTTCAGGAGCTCTGGACTGATTCACACATCAGCAAGGAAGATTCTTATTCCATTTTATGGGAATTATTTTTACAAACAACAAACTATAAAGTTTGATGAATTGTGAAGTTGGCTCTGTGCTCATAATGTCACTGTCAGAGGCATAACTGAGTGCTGCTGGATGTCTTATAAAAATGAAACGGCAGTGCATGCTTGGAAGAGCTTGATTTCCAACCCTGGTTCTATCACTGCTTTTCTCCTCAGTCTTTCTGCTTCACTTTCCCTATTTATCTCACAGTGATGCTGTCAGCATTAGCTACATAATAGCTAGAAAAGGCACAAAGCCTTTAAATCTAACCTTCCAGTGGTAAAAGTCACCCGAGTGTGATCTGGGTTATCTGTACTTAACTAGAGATTTCTCCTTCAGTTACTGAGAACTGGAGTGTCCTGATCTCAGAAGAAGTCAAACTGTATGGAGGGAACAGCAAATGAAGTTAAAGTATTTTCTAAGTGCCAGTGGTAACTGCCCCCTTAGCAAGTAATTCTGAACCTGCTAAGCTTTGGGGGAAATAGATCTTGGCCTCTGATGATCCTCCTGTTGTCTAAAAATAGGCATTGTAAGCCCACCTCCATTAGTGTTTCTTTAATTGACAAATGATCAATAAAAACTGACTAAAAATGCCTACTCCTAGCATTATATATTTCTGTGGAAAGATTTTGGGTTTGGCTGGACAAATACCCCACTAAAAATCGCTCATTTACCCAATGATATACATAATTGTACAGCACTGTGCAGGTGACTGGGAATGGCAGCTAATTAATGCAAATTGACTTCTTACTTAACATTATCAGCTTTTAGTTTGCTGAAAAGCTTCTTATCCATGCTGGTATACACTTCTGTATCACACAGTTATGCGAAACCCCTCCTGGCAAGCACTGCCATGGCACACAGAGGTGCTGGTTTTCTCCTGTGCCAAATTCCCCATAACCCTGTGTGGTCACCAGCTAGCCAGGACTGCTCATCAGTTCATGCATCTGATCTTTAAAGTCTTCTGAAATGAAGTACCTGTTAAAATCCCAATGTAACAGAATAACTCCAGGGAAAAGCAGAATGAGAACAAAAATTTTGTACCCTTTTCCTCCGATGTATTATGTAAAACATTCTCAGGGTGAAATGCTGCTGGGGTTAAAAACAAACACCTCATGATGGCTTACATGGTGTTCTGTCAATAACGAATGACTAGGGCTTCATCTCAGTCTTTGTAAGGGATAGGAAGGCTTGCTTTTTATCTCTGGACCTTGTTCTGCCATCTGTGTAGTGATTAAATATTTTAAATCATTCAGCACTAATTTCAGGCGTAACTCTGTTGTATTTCACAAAGATAAGGCAGGCATGACTTTGGCCCAGAAATTGCTAGTTTTTGATCCTGCTGACACATTTTTTTCCTTTCCCTTTGACTCCATTGGACTGTGAAGAATTATTTGTCTGACAGAAGATATAAGATACACTAAGTGATCCATCTTGCTTTTGTGGGGATTAACACCTATGTTAATGCTCTGTTGGCTTCTGAGGCTACAAAGTGTTCTCATGAGGCAGGGGTTAATTTGTCATTCTCAGCACTGAGGAGACTCCACTCCATGGAGACTGCAACAGAGCTCCAGTTTAAGTGAAGGTGCTTAGCTTGACCACTGATGTATTCAGATTCTGGCTCTGTTAAGCTTCATTAGAAAGTCATCACTACTTCAATGGTGTTTATAAATAAGTTTCAAGAATAAATGGTAAACCAACAGAGTGCTGTCTTACCTCTTGCTTTCCTCAGAACAACCACATCAAAAGCCTTGGTACAGACGTTGGGATGGAAAGGCTGATGACTGCGTGCATCAATCCCAGTGTCTTGATCTTCAGGTGATCTGAAGTTTGGGAACATGGCACACATAGAGATGTGTGTCTGATAGGGATGAGAGGTGGGAAATGGCAGGCATGGTGGTCTTGAGTTGGTTTGAGTTGGCAGGGGGAAGGACAAAAAGAAAGAAAATTTTCTTATTTCTCATTTCACAGTTTTAGCATTAAATATAACACTTTGCAAGGACGGGGAGAGATGTGAGAATCAGAAAGACGATATCGTAGTTCTTTAATCCTGTCTTGCACCCTGAAAGGAATTCACAATGATCATTGCCTTGCAGCTTTTACACATAATAAGTCATACCAATTCACATTTACTTTTTTATGAGAACTGAGGAAAGAAAAATGTGGACTTCTGATTCTTGCACTGCTCGAATGAACAGTAACTGAGTTTGTGCTTGTGAAATCAAAATTTGCCTCTAAGAAGATGTTTATTTCTGGGAGGAAAGAGGGTAAAGCTAAACTGGACAGTTTTATGGAATACTGAGAACCTGTATTTCATGGAGTGGCCATGTTCTTGAAGCTGTTCTTTTCAGCTTTCATTTTTTAAATGAAAGAATAATTTAAAAACTCATTAAAATCAAGAGAATCCTGAAATCTTCAGAGGAAAATTAAAACAGTGGTTTATTCCAGTAAGAGAGACTAGCAGCCCATTTAGATTCTTCTAAACTTTACTGCAAAAGCAGACAGCATCTTAGTGAGAGCAAACACCTTTCCCCAACTGCTGTAGAAAGCAAAGTCTCAACCTTATACAGGAGCCAAATTAATTCAATTCCTGAGGCTGTGCATCATGATGTAATGAGATGTTGTACCAAGATGGGCTTTTCATCAGCTTATCTCTCATAAATCTGCTTTATACATACGCTAGATCCCTTAGCTGTGCTTGGTAGTGCTCCCAAACACTTTAATTCAGATTAGGTAGAGGTCATGAACAGCACAACAGAGAAAACCCAATTAGCTGAAAGGAAGGTCAGCAAGATCAGTATTTGTTAGGAGAGTGGGTGTGCTAGGCAAACACTGCTAACTGGCTGCACCTATTATTTCATGATTCATTCAAGAGAGCCTTCTTCCGAGTAGTGTTGCTGCTGCTCATTGACAAGGAGCCTGCACTGGGCAATTATGGGTGTAAGAGGAACAACTTGCCTTTTTATTTCATTAAGGAAGGATAAGATCTAATGTAGGTGAAATGTACTTAGCCAAACTGTCTGGTGGTTTATGAAGCCTGTATTAGGGAAGAAAAATAATAAATAAGTTACCTGAAGTGATCCACATTCATGTGCACCTCCCACATTTTCTCTGAATCAGTGCAATCAATATACATCAGGGACAAAACAATGTGTAAGCAGTGCAGGCAATATTCTTGCTGATACCACTCATTACCTGAGGAATGAGTTTTGTGTTGACAGGAGACAAAGACTGAAAAGACACTGGGAACAAGTGGTGTGTGAACAAGTGGTGTGTGGAATGTCTTTTTCAAAGGAGTAAGGGAAAAATCTAGCCTCTTATGCTTTTGTGTAATAAGCTCTATATTAATTAACAACAGTATGTCCTATTAGTAAAAAGAAATCATTTTGTCAGTAATGCAGAACAGAAAACATATCCTGTTTATACTTGCAGAGAAAATACTTATTCATTCCTGGTAAATTATTTATGTTTTACCACGGACATTTATTTGATGCTTCAAATAAATTTTTTAAAAAGCAATAAAAAGAAAACACTAACTATTTAAAGGGCAAGAATTTAACCACTGAGGCTAGCTAGAAGTATCTGTTGGCAATTGTACCGAGTCAGAAAAATGTCTGAAAAAAAAATTAATTTGCTTAGTGGTTCTTTGTGGTATAACGAAAAAAAAATGCTTGAAAGACAGTATTACTGGGCTAATCTAAGTGGTTCACCTGGAGCTCCAAAATCTCATGTATCTCCTGAGGAAGGCTTAATTACCAGATCTTGCTTGAAAGGGTAATTGAATTAGTCTCCGTAAAAATAGGTGTTGCGTAGTTACAAAGAGGAAATATGCCCCCTTGCGCAAAGAATTTAAATACAATCCCATGCTTATTTCTTTCCATACTGGTATGGGTATTTTGAAGATAAACTTCAAGTGCCAGATCTGATTGGTTCACACATTCTGATACAACGTGCAGAAGTCATGGATTTCATTGTGAAATCTGTTCTGTGATGCCGTTGGACTCAGTGCAGTCAACATGAGGTGTGATATCTCAAAAGTTACCCTGACAGCATAACTCATGCCTCAACTGAGCCGAATAAAAGATCTCCTTTCAATGTGTTGCTACAAAGATAACAGGACTTAATCAAAGAGTTGGATTCTGACAACAATTTGTATATTGTTACTTTTATAACAACGTGAGACTCTGATTCAAACTTTGTGTCTGTCTTGAAAATGGAAAGCTTTTATAGAAACAGCCACACTTACAGAGCAGCAATCTTTAAAAGTTTATTCCACAGATACTTCTTTTTGTCCATTTCTACAGTTAGAATTGGTGCTGCATGTCTACTGGTGCTGTAGGCATGAAGGAAAATACTTCCTTTTTTTTTTTTTTTTAAATTCACATTGTATCACATTATTATAATTACAATTGTAATTATTATTGTACAATTGTAACACAATGTGAATTGAAAATAAACAATGTGTCACAATGTGAATCGTTACATTCTTCATTGCATTCATTGGACATATTCCTGATACAAACGTGCAAAAATAAGGACAGTCAATCTGCTTTGTGCTCTGGCACGGCAGAACTAATTAAGTACCTTTATAAAGCACTTTTCATTATAATGTCTAAACTTAAGGGAACAATAAAATAAGGGTGAACGTGCATGTTCATGGATCTGCTATAACTTAGAGAAGCTTTGCTCAGCTTGTAACAGCGAGCAAAGCTGGACAGTTGTTCAGAGTGTTCCTTGTATTTTTAAAACTCAAACTGGGTAATCAAGCCTGAAGCCACCCAGAATGGATGGCAGAATAGAAAGGTTGTAAAGGAAGAAAAGAATAGCAGCTTTTCCCAATTTGGCACTGAGATGCTTTCACTGGAGTTCTAGCAGACTCACTGGAGTCTGCCAGTATCACACAAGAAACAGTTGCTAAGTATTATGTTGTCTGCACCTTTCTGTTCAGTCCACAGAGCATATTGAATCTATCAGTCTCTTGAAAAGAAGTCAGACTCAAGCTGGAGGGACTTACGCTCCTAGTTTGGAAATCCCAGAAAAATGGACACCATCCCATCTCCCTAGCAACGAGTGCACTAAGGACACTCATCAAACACTTTTTGATACAATAGGCATAAACCAAATTTCATGTGAGAGAGAGTATCCCTGTGGAAACACTGGCTTCACCTGCAGTAGTTTTGTAGCTCCCCGCCTGATGTGGTGCTGAGCACTGGGTGCAGAGATGCACTTGTTCAGTAATGGTAATAAAAGACACTTTGGAACCTGTGTGACCTTCATGAGGATCTTCCACTTCCCACTATTTTTCTGCTCTCCAGCACATGGTAGGAGCCTCTGAAGAGCTGTTTCTTCTCTCAGGTGTGCTGTTGGCCTGTGAGTGATGCAATCTGGGAGCCTCATGACTTTCAGTTTCTTTTCTAGATCAGGCCAGAGAACTTTTTGCTGCTCTTTCCCACATACTCAGTAAATTATTAAGAGAATAAGATGTATCACTCTTGCCATTTTTAACAGGAAGGAAATTATGACTGGAGAAGAAAACATTTCACATGTGTAAATTGGCTTTCTCTGCAGCCTTTTGCTCTTGCAAAAGGAGGCAGTCACTTATCTTGCCTAAACTAAAAACCTGCTTGGTCAGGGAGCTGCAGGTCAGGGAACCACCAGGGGTCAGGGAGCTGAGGGGCAGCCAGAGGAATGGAAGTGCTATGTAGCATGATGAACAGTGAAAGCAGCTTAAAGCCACATGGAAAAAAGCCAGTTTCATTCATTCTGTGCTGTCAGTGAACCCACCAAAAACCTGATTGGTGTGACTTGTCTGTGGAAGGGCAGCTGCAAACACTCTAGCCTGGTGTAGTGTGTATGTGTGTGTATACCTAGGGTTCTTGGCAATGGCTGAAGGGTGTTTTACAAGACCTTTCATGATTTTTGCAGTCTGGTTTGATGTGAACTTGAGGACTCATTACACTTTTAGAAGGGAGGAGTCAGCTGTTTTTCTCCAGTACGTTTGACTGGGACGGCACATGTATGTGGCCTACTGCTAATGCACTTACAAAAGCACATCTGCACAAACAAATTATTAATTCTAGTGCAAAACAGCACAAGGATATGTAGTGTGCATACTTAAGGTGAAAGCATAGTTGTCCCATGAAAGTGTAGAGTTATTGCAAATGCCTGGTAATTCATTTCCCACAAAAGACAGTAATGGCTCAAAGGAGCCCTCACAGGCTATAAGGTAAATAAACTGAATGTTAATAGTTCCCAGGTAGGCCTGCAGAGCACCACTTGGAGAGTATTTTTCAGGAAAAGTTCCGTGTGGCTGTCACCACCTAATACTACCTGACAGCAGGAAGAATATTTGCTCTGAAAGACCTTGGACTATGGACGTGGAAGATTTTGTTTCTGGTGTATTTCACTTTTTGTTTTAAAGGGCATATTCTTTCCTTCAATTTAAAAGTCTTTCAAAGACCAAGAAAATACAACCTTATAGGAAAAGAAAATGCTCAAACTAGGACAAATCAAAGGCCATAAAATATTTTTAGAGACCTAGCATGTTTCAGGTTAAGATGTGAGTGCAAAATAATGGAAAAAGTACATCAATGTGCCATTGATCAAATATTCAGAGTCCAAGTTCATGTACTTTTCAATATGTACATGGGCAGAGTTTGAACTGCTCGTGTGTAAAACCTCCTTCCTCCTTATACAGCTAGCACAAGGGCGTAGAGTCACAGCAGTCCCTGGCTGCTTCCTCTTCAGCAAGCAAATGCCCAGAAAGGTGTTGTGATTTCTGCCTCAGCCCATGTGCATGGATGATCCTTTCTGGTGAGGAACTGGCTTGAGTAACACTCTTGCCGTGAAGCCAGTGGGTCCCAGACCATCCTTAACCAAGAAGCATTTGAGGTTGACTAGCCTAGGAATTACTGAAAACACAGCAGATCTCCTATCCCCTGCAAAGGGCAGTTTTAAGTTTTACTCCACAGTTTGCTTGTGTTTCTGCTGTTTCAGGGATACCAATATAAATGTCACATAACAGGACATTTACTTGAGTCACAGTGGACCAGATTGTTCCCCAGCATCATTCCACTGTGGGTGATGGAGTTTTCTTGGGAATGGATTAGGCAGTAAACCAGAACCACCCAGCTTGACTGTGCGACATGAGAGTGCCCACTTTGCATGGATGTTGGTTTTAAAACTACTGTTAAAAGTGCTCTGTTATCTTACAAAAGTGCACAGGCTGGTTCTTATCACTTAGCGCGTAGGGAAATTGCAAGGAAACCTGCTGCTTCCTTGTAGCTTTTGATCAAATTCTGCAGAAACAGTACAGCCAATGCCTCTAATGTGCATTGCTGGTCAAAGGCCATAAGCTGACCCAGTAAAAAGGAGTTTGGCTTGTGTACTCTTGTAGGTAACCAAGCTTGCTTCTGCTTCTGCTGTGTGCTGTAATGAGGTAATAGAGAAGCCTGCAAAAAGCAGTGGGCTACAAAGAACAGGGTTGCAGGTTTCCTTCTGTAGCTTCTGTGGCCTGTTTACAGTTAGCTCTCCTGCTTTTCTAGAGTGTCTGAGTTTACACAAAATGGGGAGCAGGTATCTCATGTGCAGGGAGGCTAAAGGGAGAGTGGTGGGGTCAAACAATGCCTCTCACAGCCCTATGAAGATAACCAACATCAGTTGTTGAAGAATTATTCTCAGGTTTCTAATACGTCCTATCTATCAATGCTAATATGAGAGGTGTAACTTTTTTATTTTCTGCTTTTGAAGAATTTGCATTTACACTTTAAATTACCGTAATCTAAAATCTCGGTAGTTTGAACAAATTTAAGCATTTTGCTGGTGCCATCAAGTGGCAGAATGCTGGATTGCAGGATTACAGCAGCATCCAGATTCACTCAATCTGATTTTCTTGAGCAGCAGCAGTAAGGAAAACAATCCTTGCCAAGCCTCCTCCAAAAATACATCTATATATATATGCACATACTAGAAAAATGGACTGAAATACACGTGGTGTCATGGTTATTTGAGTTGCTTCAGTTTAATCTGGATTCTAACTAGTACAAAGCGTAATATTTTGGAGTATTACAAGTTGATAAGTACGGACAACCTGTAAAGCGATCTCAGGGCCCTTGTTGAAGAGTTACTAAACAGAAGGGGTACAGTGCCGTATTCTGATTTTCCTTCTCAACTGTGTTTGATCTCCTTTGTTACTAGCTAATCCCTTTTTACAGAACATGGCCCTTCAAATTTCATATCTTATCTGCACTTCATACCATATGTGCATAGTATCACCAGAGTGGAATGAATATTCAGTTTTTCAGTTTGCTGTTATAGTCACAAAATTCACAGTCTGGTTAACACACAGTTTAAACATACAGTTCATCATTCATACGCGTATCACTTTTTTTCATCTGGGTGACATCGTAGTACTGCTCACTGGGAAGGCCTCTGTGCAAAGAGAAAGCAACAATGTAGAAAGCTTATGATCTATTTCCTTACAAAAATCCAAATTAATTGATATGTTTCTGTCTTGATTTCTCCGATAACCCTTAATATCAAAACTCAGTTGCTACCAGTGTGGAAATCTATCCTCAGTTTCAAAATCTAAGTCATGCAGGGCTGGATTTTGGAGGTGCTGAGCACCCACGCCTTAATGCAGAGTTCCTGCGAATGCTGGGTGTTTCCCTCTCCGGAGGCCTGGCCCTGGCAGCCCCTCACCACACACGCTTAACACTCAGCAGGAGCTGTAGGAATGCCTTGAATGGGTGCAGGCTCCAACTTTAGGTCCTATAGGAAGCTAAGTTATTCCTACATTATGGGGATCACTTTCAGCTCCTTCTGATGCCGAAAGGCTCCCAGAGTCCAGCCAAACTGCATGATCCTTTTCACTGAAAAGAATCTGAAGAGAAGACAGCAGCATACCTATCTTTGATTTTAAACAATAGAAAACAAAGCAGTTCAGGTTAAAAAAAAAAAAAAAACCAAAACACAAAAAAACCCACAACAGCAAAGGGAGCAAATGGGAGTGCCAAAATGAAGGAAATGTGGGTGGAAAAGTCAACCATAACCAGTAAGATTTTCCTGATATTAGAAATAGCCTTATAATTCTGACCTGGCCTTGCTAAAGCTGAGCTTGACACTAATCAAGTGTCTGTTGCTAAAAGGAAAGGGTGGCCTTAACTGCATGGCTGAAGAAGAGATGTTGGCTGCAAGAAAGGGAGTGAAATTATGCTGAGTCAGAAGGGATTTTTTGACTTTTATGGCTGGCTCAACGGGCTCCCAAGGCTTGGAGGTTATAGCACAGTCCAGTGGGAATATGCTCATAATACTCCGGGTCTAACCACGAGTTCAGAATGATTATTGTCCTCTCTTTCCTCTTTAAGCACTTTCCCACATTAGCACTGTCCAGTGTAATGTGTGCTTCTGTGCCACGGGTGCTGTCAGTTGAGCAATGTGGGCATCTGTGGTCTGCTCTCATGCAAGGCTGTGTGTTCAGAAGTGCTGAGCAGCTCCATCTTAAACTAAAGTCACTGAGACTTCTCCTGCTCCCCTCTCAGCTCCATCATACCAGAGCACTGCCTGACTTCCATCCTGGAGGCAAGGTCCTGTGCACCATTCTGACAGGACGCCCTTCTGACAGCACTTCATTCTATACTTGGTTTGCTTTACTGTGTTGTTTCATAATATACAAGTTAGAGTGTTTTTACAGCTGAGGGTGTTCCCTTATGACAGACTGTGCCCCGGGAGGGTGATATTATGGAGCCACAGTGCTCACTTTAAAGCAAAACTCGGGATTTAAGAGGTCTGAATGCTGATTTGGGATATCAATGCATATCTAGGATTGTACTGACACAAATTCTCTTTCCAGCATTAAAATGAAAACCTACTAACCTGGAAATTATTAACTTTTGCTTAGTTCAACTGCTGTGCCTGTGAAGATGCACTTTTCACTGCTGTGGTGGTTGATGCATGTGGGTGGCATGGCTCAATAAGTAATACATTGCATTTTAAGTCTTTTGGAGCAGTGCCTCTGCAAAGTGGCAGTAGTTGTATCTGTAGAAAGATGTTTTTGTGTTACTTGTACTTAACTTGAATCAAGAGGTGGATGGCTTTTGCCTTGGAATCTGCCTCTCCCACTCAGAAGAGAATGTGTAGTTGTACTAGTTTGGCTGTAGCTTGGAGAGGGGCCTGGCTGTGGGTGAGAGTTAGAACCTGGTGATCTCCAGACATCCCTTCCAACCTGAACTCAGCTGTGACTCCACCACTTGTAAAAATAAGCTCTCTTGAGCTGTTCTCCTGTGTTCTCCCTGCACCCTGGCATCTGCTGGGTAGCGCTGAGCATCACTTCATTTTCCTCTTAAAGCTATCTTTGCCAGCCCCTTGTTTCTCATGTTACAAAAATTCCTGTAGGTTCTGTAGCTTTATATGTAGGAAAATTGCCAGCATGTATAAAAGCCACAGATCAGTTATGTAGAAGTGCACTGGAAAATATGTTCTTTACTTTTTTCCTGTAAAATTTCATAGACATCTTACAAATTTATTTAAAAAATGAAGCACAAGCAAACACACCCCTCTTACCACTAGTTTTAGAACCACAGAGTCTGGGACTCAGTGCTTGCCCTGTGTATTATACTTTCACAGCCCAAAGTCCTGCACATATATAGAAAATACCAATATCAGCATAATCTAATAATGTCTTATTTACTAGAAGGTTATATTTAAATTAACCCTAACTGTGGGATTTTATATAAGTATTTTTGTATGGTTCTTAAGAAAAAGCAATATTTGCTCCATAAAAATAAAATATTTCTCACTGTGGATATTTCCTGAAGATTTATTTACAAGCTGTATTATAAACATACTTATTTGGGCTTCTCATAATTCTCCCGCTGAAATTTGTGCCAGTGCTGTCAGAGGCCTAGCCATGAAAATACTTTGTTTTCATCTTGCTCACTTCAGCTTTCTCCTCTATAGTTGTTTACACTAGGGTAAATTCCTAATTAATTTCTAGCCTGTATCTCCAGTAGGTTTCACTGAGAGCATCAAAGGTGGTGCCATTTGGAATACTGCAGCTCTGCTACCTACCTGAAAGCTAATCCGTGTAACACAGAAACTTAATGTGGAGGAAAGGCTACTCTCTTTTGCCTCTACAGTAGCACTGTCAGGATTGTGAGCATCTGGCTAGACTCTGAACAATTTTTCTGCAGTATCACTTTAGTATGAGAGTTGCTCAAGACAAACAACAGAAGTATGTCATGATCACGGTTTTATAAAGTAGTTTGCAAACCTCTTCTCTCTTTCTGACTGCTAAGTTAGTTTTCTGAGATGGGGTATGTAGTTCCTGTGTCTCATCTGCCTTCTTATGAGGCGTCACCTTGTTCAGATTGGACATTAGGAAAAGATTCTTCACTGAGAGAGTGGTCGGTCACTGGAACAGGCTCCTCAGGGAGGTGGTAATGGTACCAAACCAGTCAGAGTTCAAGGAGTGTCTGGACAACGCTCTTAATCATATGATTTAGTTTTTGTTAGTCCAGCAAGGAGCAGGAAGTTGGATTTGATGATCCTTATGGGTCCCTTCCAACTTTAGACATTATATGATTCTGTGATTCTGTGATTACTTTACAGAGAGGCTAGTTAATGATAACGCAGAGCAGAGCAAGGACAGGAAGGCATGTTTCCAGTCTTTGAGTCATGCTTTAACCCTTGGGCAGCCGTGCAGATGCCTGGTCTGCATCTTTCATTCCTGTTCTCCGGAAGCCTTCAGGGCTGAAGGCTATCCTTGAACTTCTCCAAGTTAGCCCTAAGCAGCGGCATGTTCTGCCTTCAAAGCTTTCCTGGAAGTCAGTAATGATGATTTGAACCTGAGTGTCTCAGCAACAGAGATTTGGCATCATCATTTGCCTATCTGTCTATTAGCTAGTCAGCCTGTTTGTTTGTTTGTTTGTTTTGACTAATGCCATCATGATGAACAAGAAGTTTTGGAACTGGTTTCAGTGAAAGTGGCATGAACCTGAATATATTCTAAAGAAGAAATTGTTTGTGGTAAGAGGCTAGAAGAAGGAACCGTGACTCAGAAAGCATACCCCAGAGCTCTTCTCCTCAGCTGTTGTCTAGACAGATCTCTTCTTTTACAACAGCTTTCTGAAAAAGCTGAGCACTGGCTTTTTGTGTTTATGCCTGTGGGATTTGTGGATGCTGAGCATCAGTGTAAGTTAGGCCAATAGTGACATTTTTAAGGTCAGGAAGGGTGTTTGGGACAACAGCTAACAATAAATAATTATCAAATGATGGGCAAAAAATACATATGGTCATTTGGAACTGTGTTCAGCAAAACACTGTGCATAGATTTGCGAGTACCAGTATATTCCCACATTAATATTTAGGACAATGGGAAAAGGGCAGAAGCTTAAATTACCCATTTTTGGAATGCAGATATTTGCATGTCTTGGTCTATATTACCATCTAACTGGTTATCTCTCTGTTGCTATTCTTGTTAAAACCCTGTCACTTAAACATTTTGACTCTGAGAAGTATTTGTCTAGCCTACCTTGGCCAAGGGCATGCATCACTACCGTAATGTTGATGTCCTTTCACAAATGTCCATGGAGACTTGTCCTTTGCCCTGTGGTCTTCTGGCAATCCAGGTAATGCAATTCCTCCATGCTTCCTTTCGGTTCCCCAGGGAAGCTTACAGCCATGAAAGGATTTCCTATACTCTTTATATCTGAAAAAGAAAAAAACAAACCCGAAATATCATTTAATGGCAGCAACAGTGATGGTTACTTGAAATCTTTTAAACAATGACAACTTGGCATTATTTTCTTTGCTCTGAGTTACTCAGCCTTAGTCTGGGTAGTGCTATTATAGTGAACTGGCACTAGGAGAAGTAAGTACAATGGTGACTGGCAATCGTTTAATGATGCTTGAATCAAGACTATTATGTTTTGATCAGTGGGAGGAAGAAAGAAGCTGATGGATAAGGTGTAGCATGCAATCTTGCAGCCTTGATTCTCAGCTGCCAGCACGTAGATATCTACACTGTCCCTTCAGTACTATGTAAGTGGCATGTGGACAGCAAATATATGCAGTGGCACAGATGGAAGCTTTAGTGAGTGGAAATAGGCTCACTATTGTGGCTCTGAGCATTTCAGTGAGCATTAAAATCCTGACCTTTGTTATGAGTATAGGCTCTTGAGGAAAAAATAAATGGCTACAAAAGCATCTTCTCAGAGTACATTTAGACTCAAACTTTGTCAGAGTCCTAGTTTTCTAAACAGATCTTGGGGAAATCTATGGTAGGGATAGAGGGTGCTGCTGTGTTGTGTTTTGTCCTCTCAATTTCTTGGCAGCACAGTGCCCTCCTGCCATATGTTTCTTTCTGTGTGGTTCAGCACCACTCTGCTGCTGCCTGATGCTGTTCCTTTTTGACAGGGTGCAAAGGGCAGTATGTCTGTATTGTGCAATTAACCAAAATCAGAATCTGATGTGCTGTAGATTATCAGAAAGCTTTTCTGTTTTTAAGTTGCTGAAGGAACTCAAGCATCCATTTCTTAAGTTCTGTCTAAAGCCTCATTTCCGCTTTCTGAAAGTAGGCAGGCAGATGCAAAGTCACCTGCATGGCTGTGGTGCTTGTATTCATTAAGCTGACTCTGACTGGAAACGGTAGTAAATCATTCTTGTTGACTGCTATGTGTAGGTTACTAAGTTGCAGAAGAACCGCTTTTCCTTCGACAGGAAAGAGAAGCATTGGCCACAAAGGTCTGATAATCCGTTCAGCCCAAACAGCACTTTTTTAAGCTTAAAATGTTTCCATGTCTGTATCTCCCAAGGAAGCATTTATAGCTGATATTGATCCAGTGACACTGAAGATCTCAAGGACACAGAAAAAAGTGTCTTTGCCTGGAGAATAGCACATGAGGACTAAGGTGAACAAAGTTTTGAAGAGTATATCATGAACAATCCTGAAGAGTCTCAGCAATATAGTAAATTATGTAATAAAGACTATTACAATTTCTGACTTGCACAACTGTAGATTTTTTCTGAATTCTGACAGCCAACTTCCAGCTTTCTGTCTCTTTTGTTCTGACCAAAAAAAAAAAAAGCTAACATTTTTAGCTAAAAAAGATAAAAGTTCACTAGTGCCTCCTTTATTTTAAAAAAGTTATATTTTTCCCTTCAAATTCGTTTTGTCGTAAGCAGCTCAAACCAGAATGTATGTATACAGTGTCTTAGACTGTGAGATTGTAGCTCCAGTAGCTGATTTGGTCGGTGCATGAAGCCAACACATCTGAGGGGTTGTGTTGCCAACAGCTTCCAGAAGGTCTGTGAAAAGAGAGTTCTCAAAGGGGTAGGATTAGGACCTGCCTCTGTATGAGTTCACATAGGGTGCATTCACACTGGGATTGCAATTTGGATTAGGAGTGCATTTTGGACATGAATCTCACAATGGTCTCATTTTACAGTGCCTTGGTCTTAGAGTTCATTCACCAGGATCCTTCTGGTTTAAATTAACTGGAAGATGTGCTCCAGGAATGCACCAGAAGGGTGCTGCAGCCACAAATGGACCCTCAGTCCCTGGAATCACACTAGAGGTCAGCCAAAATAAAGAGCACCTGTAATGCGTTTTTTCTGGACTTCAGATTCTCAGCACCAACTGTTTCACTCTGCACATCTTCTGTAGTCCACAATACGTGCCAATGTAGACATAGTCACTGAGCAACATACTGATTTGGAATTCAGTGAATTTTTTGCAGGGTGGGAATGTCTGAACTTTTTTTTATTTTAATTAATTCTTGCCCAATAAATTTATAAATAACTATATACAGCATCTTAGTTTATCAATGCTGAATCTAACTATCGGATCATAGAGTAAATTCCTTAGGGTGCCTTCTTTGCATATATAAGCTAACATTATACAAATACATATATGTGCCTCTGGTTATTCAAGGGTGCTGTTTATCAATGCAAATATTGCTGGCAAATACTCTAGTCCAAGATGATAATGTAATAAAATTCACAGATGCATTATGTTTAAAAGCTGAGAACAACTATGTTCTATTTATTTATTTCCTTGTAATTATGTGACTAGAAAAAAATGCACAATTTTAAAAACTAGTATGATATTGTAAAACATGCAGCCACCTTCTTTTCAGGTATAAATGTGTGAGTTCATGTGAATGTGTGTTTACATTAGCAGAAAAATGTAAGTTACTGCCTGTGTTAGAATACAGATTTTCCTGTTCACGGAGAAAATAAATGTTATGACCTGGCCATGCTTAGTCTAACATAGTTATAATCTGAAAGATGCTTTTCTGGTGTGTTCAGATCCTGACGTTGCAGCATATTCTGAGCTTAATTTTTCCTTTTGCTAGGTTTCCTGTGTAGCCAAAATGAATCTTTCCTATACATTCATTAAAATTTAGTATAATTCAGTAAACTTTCACGTCTGTCAATAGTTAAAACAGTTCAGATGGACATTAATCCAAATTCCTGTAATACAAGGAATACAACAAAAACCTGTCTTAGGGAAGATATGTAAGTGGGAGCCATCAAGACATAGTTTGACAAGTGTGACAATCCAATATCAAAATACTTTGACTGTAATTCAGATGTTGGGTATGAGACGTTACAAATAGTGGAAGTTAGCAGTAGTAGCATACTAGAAGGCTGTCAGTAAAATGGAAACTAAGAATTGATTTTGCTAACAAAATAGATAAAATCTCATGTGAAAGAACACTGGAGTACTTGAGGCTAACTCTGGAATCTGTTATGTGTGTAAAGAATAGAAATTTAGCTCCAAAAAGTGTTGTCGTGACTAGTGAGCAGCATTCCAGAACTTTAAAAACTGCAGGAATTCTGCCATACCCTGACCCCTAGCTAGCAGTAGAGTTGGGCCTGTAAAATACAGTAAAAATGCATTGATTCCTGAAACTTCCTGTTTACACACTGATGATTATGAAAGCAAAATGCAGGCTTCTTGTAATTTTCAGTTTCAATTGTAAAGTTTATCTCAGTAATTCTAGGCAAACCTGTAATGTATGGGAAAAAAAAAAAAGTTCAAAACAGGAGTAAATCAAATAAGAAAATGATAAATTTTGGTGATCAGTTTATGAAATGTGCTAATTTCCTCCATATTAGAAGTACAATATACCCATATTTTTCATTCTTTATGAAAATTATCCGAGGAGATTTTGAGCCCTAAAGCCATAGTATAACATATTTGAGCAGTCCTCTTTTCATCTGTAATCAACATATTTCTCAGGGAACTAATCAGACTATTGCACAAGGTAGAAAACATTTTCTTTCATTAAAGCAAAAAGAAAAAAATGTGTCATGCCAGAAAAATGTAACGACTGGAAAATACTTTCAGTGACAGCAAATGTATATCAAATACTTTTAATGGAATAATTTGCCTTTATGAGTTCTGTTCTTAGCTGTCTTGTGAGACAGTTGGACGAGAAGGAATTTGGAGTGGAGTTAGTGCTTCATTGGACTCAAAGGTTCTTGATAGGATTTCAGTTCCCTCAGTTTCTCTATAGTAGTGGGGCAGGTCGTGCAGCAGCATCATATGTCATATTTGAGCTGAAGATATAAGGATAAAATACCAAATAGCAAAGGTTTTGTTAGTGCATTTGGATGCTAAGGAGGAAACATAGATGAGTTCTGCCTAACTCTGGCAAGTGTTGACAGGAACAGGTGGTTGCTTTTACTACTGCTACTGGTTATTTGTACCAGGTTACAAAATAAAACAAAAAAAGATGCAGGTTAAAGAGATGTGATACAGTTGCTTTGTGTTACTGATGAACAGGAGCTAGAAATAGACTTTCAAATAATGGGAGGAGAAAGTTTGGAGTTGGACTCGGACTCAAAAGGTCTCACTTGTGAAAGTCTCACTAGGTGATGGGGACAGGACATCCACATCCCAAGGAGACCATCAGTCTGCTCCACACTGGGCATATGCAAATATGTCACTTGGGAACGTCTAATTCCCTTCAGCTTCTGCCTGCCTGTGGCATACGTGTGAGTGTTAATGCTCCTTCCATACCAACAATGCTAAAAACCCCAACCACTTATAAAACTTGCAATCACATATCAGTATTAAAATAAGCAATCACTTATCACAATAAGGAAACTTGCTGAACAAGCCCCAAAACAAGCTGGCATAAAACTTCTCAGGTGTTACCGTATGTGCCAGAGAGCGAAATCAAGAAATGCTTGAAGAGAAAAGAGAAATGGAGAGAAGAGAGAAAGAAAAAGGAGAGAAGAGAGAAAGGAAAAGTAGAGAAGAGAAAGAGAAAAGTTTCCAGAGAGTCAGAAAGGACTTTTTCCCCACATTTTGGATGCTGTGTCTGTCCTTGATGAGTCTGTCCTTGACAAGTCTGTCAGCCTCTCGGGAGTCCTCAGGTGCTGGGCGCTTGCCTTCTCTTTGTTTATTCACCTTTCGTAGACAAAGGTTCTCGGGTCTCTGCCTAAATTTCTCCCATGAGCATAAGAAGCGATGGGCCTTAATTATCAGAGGAAGCAGAGAGGGGTGTCTCCTTAATAAGAGGGGGAAGGGTAGCATGAAACCTTTCAACCAATTGGGTTGGTGGTCATTCAGACCCGTTAACTTTGGCTGAACTTTCTTTGTTGGTGCCTTTGAGCTGGGGGCAACGACCTTGTTAAGCAAAAGTTTGTCCTTCGTTAGTGAGGGGAGTAAAGCCTTTGGTGCGTTCTTAACTTCTTATCATCAAGGAATAGGATTATTGCACAACCAAGATTTTTGAGACATTCCAAGGCCTTCCCTGCTCAGGGCCTTTGATAGGCAGCTAGTCCTTTACAGTCAGTCATTTGTAAAGCTAGGGTGATGTTGGTGCAGTTGGTGCAGGTATGAATTCTGGAGCTGGGGGAGGTGGTTCTAGATCACTTTGTGGGTCTAGTTCAGGTTCTAGATTGCTTTGTGGTTCTCAACTATGTTCTAGCTTGCTTGTTGGTTCTAGAACAGGTTCTATATAGCTTGAGGGCTCTAGATAGTTTTATGGTTCTAGACTACATTCTAGATAACTGCATTGTTCTAGATCACCTCTTGTCACAGCTTGTCAGTTCTGATTCAGGTTCCAGGTCACTTGCTGGTTCCAGAGAGGAATAATGGTTTAGCTCACATCAAGAAGTTCAGGACTGCTTCTTAGTTCCAGGGCCAAGTGATGGTTCTAGACTACCTTCTGGCTTGCTTGTTGGTTCTAGATCAGGTGTCTAGATAGCTTCTAGGTTCTAGACCATGTTCTAGATAGCTTTAGGGGTCTAGATCACTTGGTGGTTCCAGATAGGGTTCTAGATAGCTTCAGGGTTCTAGACAACATTTTAGATCACTTTGGGGTTCTAGATTGGTTTCCAGGCTGGCTTAGGGCTCCATTGGGTTCTGAGGGGGGAGGAGGACCTAGTTCAGGCAGCTGTTTTGGCATCTCACAAGGATTTGGAATAATTACTGATGAGAGCAGTCTCACTGGGGTTTTTTCCTTTCTTGTTTTATTTTTTTGCCTTGCATGCTTTTTTTCTTCTTTTGAGTTGAAGGCCCAGATCATCCCATAAACTGCAGCTCTCCCAAGTTTCTAGCATGCTGACTTGCCCTGACTCTGTGGACCTTCTTTTCACTGGAGGCAAAATTGGAAACTGGACAAGCTCCTACTTGCCCATCTTCTTCACAGCAACTGCTTGCCATGCTCCTGCTCCAGGGAGTCTTGACAACCTGCCCAAGAGGCTTGTTGAATTGGCTTTGCCACCTACTCTTGCGCTGAGAAGAAGCACTTCAGACAGGGCAGGGGTGTCCATGCACCTCAGAAAGGGTTCAACACTTCTAGAGGATGCTCCAGAACTTGCACCCACAGCCGCAAATGCCAGGCTAACTCCAAAGCTGAAGAAGAAACAGGAGTCACACCAGCAAGACTCAAATCTCTGGCGTCACTTGCCTGCTCAGGAGACAGAAGGATGGTGCAATGACCATCATTGCTGCTGGCAGAGCCCTTCTTCAGCCTCGCCTGAAGTCCCAGGCGGGTTTGAAAGGCAGGAAGAGGAGATTGCCTGCTCTCCTTAGTGCTGCAGTCCAGTGATAAGCTTGTTGTCCTTATGGGTAGTTGGAGCATTGGCAGCAATTACTGGGCCAACACTGCTGCTTTTGGACTGTAATGTCAAGGGTTGAATCTCTAGAAACACTAACCATTTGGTAGCCCTCTTCTTTCACTCGGACTCAGGGCTGGCTTGCCGCTGCAGACTGACAAAGAGAATTTAGAAATAGTGGTGTCCTCTCCATTTGCTTTGAAAAAGTTCACGAGTAGCCGTGCTCTGGCATGTCATATAGTACTCACTGTGCACTATTTCTTAAGGCAAAACAACATATTGTGGTACAGTTGTACGTAAATTCAGGTTATGCAGTGATGACTAAGAGGTGTAACTGCTGCTCTCGTGAGGCCCTGCCTGGAGTACTGCATCCAGCTCTGGACCCCCCAATGCAAAAGGATGTTGAGCTGTTGGAGCAGGTCCAGAGGAGGGCCAAGAAGATGATCAGAGGGCTGGAACACCTCCTCTATGAAGACAAGCAGAGAGAGTTAGGGTTGTTCAGCCTGGAGAAGAGAAGGCTCTGGGGTGACCTTATAGTGGTCTTCCAGTACCTGAAAGGGACCTACAGGAGAGATGGGGAGGGACTTTTTACAAGGATATGTAGCGACAGGACGAGGGGTAATGGTTTTAGACTGGAAGAGGGCAGATTTAGACTAGGTATTAGGAAGAAATATTTTACTGTGAGGGTGGTGAGACACTGGAACAGGTTGCCCAGAGAAGCTGTAGATGCCCTATCCCTGGAGGTGTTCAAGGCCAGGCTGGATGAGGCTTTGAGCAACCTGTTCTTCTCAGGTAAATGTCAGTGAAATGCAGATTTTTCTTTTCTTATTAAAATAGAATAATTTTGGTTGGAAAAGACCTTTAAGATCATTGACTCCAACCATAAAACTCACTTGGATCTAATAGGAAACTAATTTTAAAATATTTGAAATATGTTATTCTTCTAAAATCTCTAGGGGTTTGGGCCATATGTATTGTAAGAGAAGAAGCTGAGGTAACATGTTCAAGTGAAAAAATTCAAGTGAACTCTGTCACACTGGGAGCTTCTAGAGTGTTGGGTGGACTGCTACGGTATCTACATGAGCACCATGGGAATTTTATACTGATGACTCAGAGTCAAGTACTACTGGCTTGCAAAGAGAAAAACGTTCAGAGTTGTGGATTCACCATGTTTAAGTGGGCAAGAAACAGAAGCCATACTTTCCTTCCAGCAGGTCTGCTGTGGTTCTGTAATGTAATGCAGTTCTGAGTCCACGCTATTCAGAACCTAGTGGAATTTCCTCTCTATCCAGCTTTATTAGCCTTTCTGGGAAATGTATTTCTAGCTGCTAGAATTACAGCTGGGGCCTGTGATGAGATGCTTTTTTATGCCCCTGCCTGTTACACGTATATGGAGGTGCCACAGTTCACAGCTTCTCTTTGCAGCTCAATGACAGGAACTGTCCACTGAGGCATGGATCTATGCAACCAATTCTACTTCATCAGTCTCCTGGCATTTCAACCATCATCCATAGCACCAGATCATATTCTGACTGCATTCAGCTCCAAATCCACAATGCACATACAGAATTACACCCATCTGCAGTCTTACCTGTCATACCAGTACCAACCCCACTGATATGTAGCAGTCCATACACCCTCATCAAAAGGGTTCTGAACATATACATGTGTGCATGTACCTGCAGCTGCACTAGTCCGAAGCCACCACACAAATCCTAAAACCTGCCTTCAGCCCCAGAAACATAGTTCATTGCACAGCATTTCCAGGTGGCTGGCTTGGGAACCTCAAGCTGACGCCTACCTTTAGCAGCAGGATCCAGACCAAGGGTCAAGGCATCCCTATGAACAGTGCTCTCTGGACACAGCCCAATGCATCCAGAAGGGCATCCACTGTCTGTCCCGCTCTGTTCCCTGTCAAACTGGCCCAGTTCCCTGGCAGAAGAAGGCAAGGGGGTTACAGCTCAGTGAGGCCGCTCAGGCTAGAGGGCTGGCAGTAGATAGGGGAGGACAACAGTAGGAGAAAGATGAAGTCAGGTGGAGCCAGGTGCTGTCAGGACCAAAGTCCCAAGACCTTATTGATCCAGGAGAAATCACCCACAAAGGAAATCACTAGTTTCCAGGATGATGTCTCTCCAAAGCAGAAAACACAATTGTTCACATTTCAGCCCCAGAGCTTTCAGAAATCCACAGCTAAGACAATGAATTATCTCATTATGAGCCTTTTGATGAAGGCAGGAAGGTACAGGAAAACGATACATTAATGTTCTGAGGAATGATGCCTAAGTAAAAAGTAGTTTCTAAATGTAACAACCTTTCAAATATTTTGTTTACTGAACCCCTAAGAGATATTATTTCAAAACAGGAGAAAATATCTGGGGAGTAGCCCCTCTGATCTCAAGCTGTATTGTCTGTCAGAAGAAAAGGTTAATAGGAAAGTGTGTAGAGCAAAACTATGAACTAAGCCTATCTTCTCGA